TCAAAGTATGTCTGTGCATACGCCCTGTGGGGCCTGAACAACTGCGTCACAAGACGATCAAATGTTTCTGGTGCATTTAACAGCCCTTGAGGCATCACCAGCCACTCCCAGAGCATGCCGCTCGAAGTGCTCACCGCTGTTAGCGGAATATCACTCGCTCTCATGAGCAATTGGAAATATTCATCGACCAAGTCGAGTGCGCTGTACTTCCTACATCCCACCATGTTGTTCGGAAGAAACTCCTATCTAGGAATCGGCGTCTGTGCCGGAATAATGGCAGCGTTGAGCTTATTGTAAGCATGAACGATACGCCACCTGCCGTACGGCTTCCGAACACAAAACGTGGGTGTCGAATGGGGAGACTTGCTCTCACGTACCACCCCTGCTTCATGCTTCGCACGGAAAAAGGCGTCAATGACGTCGCACTGCTCATTGGGCAGAGGCGATTGGCGTGTTACGCAGTATTTGATTTCCGAAACCAGGTCGATCTCAGGAAGCACACCTCTGTCCGAAGATAGGACCGGAGGCGGGTCTTTGGAGACGACGTCTTGAACTTCCTTTACCAAAGATTGGTATGGATCGAAGGGATTCTGTAGGATCGACGATCCACTTCGTGCGTTCAGCACTCTCTTGGTGTCCTCCAAGACAGCTTAATCCAAAAGCGATGACGGGTTTACCTCCTCATCCGGTCGTACACAATGACCACTTTGGCAAAATTGCCTGCCTTCAAGGCACTGCCGAACTCTAGAAGGGACATCTCGTCCAGCTCAAGAAGAGCATCTACTGCAGGCATAGCCTCAAGGCGGAGGTCGCCATCGTCCTCCCCTGTCATACCGTTGACGAGGGTGAATAATTGTGCACCGTCATCAACGGTAGGCACATCCTGGATCAGGGTTGACGCCCGGCGTCTCGCAGCCAGCATACGGCGTCGCCTTCGCCTCTGTACAGAGGTTCTATGTCTCGGTGAGACCAGGGTGAACACGCATTTCGCGTCGTCCGGTATCACCCTCACTGTCCGCTCCTTTGGAGCTCCGATGTTTTATACAACGTCCGACAAAGAGCTGCTAACCCCGCAGTATTCGTCCAGTGGATAATGTGCCACTCTACGCGCATCTGAAGGGTCGCGGCCCAGATGTCCAACCACGCCATCAATGGCATGCAGCAACTGCTTCACAACATGAGCAGTGCTTAGTGGTTTACGTGCCACTCCACGATCAGCCCGCTTGCCACGCTCGGGACTCCTGTCCGATACACCGTTGGTGTCTACCAACTCGGT